AGCCTCAAACAACGAGGCAGAATACGAAGCACTGATTGCAGGACTAAAGCTAGCAGTGGCAGGAGAAGCAGATAAGGTAATAATTTTTTGTGATTCACAACTTATAGTAAATCAAGCAACAAGAGAGTTTGCAACCCGAGATGAGAGGATGTCGGCATACGCAAAGGAAGTTATCAGGCTGACAGCCTTGTTTCGCAACTGCCGACTTCTTCAAGTCAGCCGAGATGATAACAACCACGCCGACGCATTGACCAACTTGGCAAGCTCAATGCAAACTGAAAAAACAAGAACAATAATGATTGACTATCTGTCAAGCCCGAGCATAGAACAGCCGATCACAGAGCAAGAAGCAATGTGTGTGGACTTGAAACCAAGCTGGATGGATGCAATTGTTGTATTCTTGAAAGAGGGAAAACTACCAGAAGACCATAAGGAGGCACACAAGGTCAGATTAAAGTCGGCAAGATTCAATTTGACAGCGGACGGACATCTCTACAGAAGGTCCTTCACTGGACCCCTTTTAAGGTGCGTACACCCTTTGCAGGTTGAAGATTTTCTATACGAAATTCATGAAGGGATTTGTGGAAGCCACGCTGGGGGCAGATCACTAGCTCACAGGGCCATTACCCAGAGGTATTGGTGGCCCTACATGCAAAAAGATGCAGAAGCCTACGTGAAGAAGTGTGAACAATGCCAAAGGTTCGCACCTTTGATACACCAACCAGCTGCTGACCTGAACCCTGTATCCAGTCCATGGCCATTTGCCCAATGGGGCATGGATCTCATTGGTCAGTTGCCCCAAGCAATTGGGCAAAGGAAGTACTTACTGGTAGCAATAGATTACTTCACGAAGTGGATAGAAGCAGAACCTCTTGCCAAAATCTGAGATATGGACGTCAAGAATTTCATATGGAGAAACATCATCACCAGATTTGGCATTCCAAGAGCAATAGTTGCCGACAACGGAATGTAGTTTGACAGCAAACTTATTAAGAACTTCTATGCAAAATTCAAGATAAAGAATTACTTTTCAACACCAAGTTTTCCCCAAAGCAATGGGCAAGCAGAAGCATCCAACAAAGTAATTCTGGACGGGATAAAAAAGAGACTGCAGGCAGCAAAAGGAAAGTGGGTAGACGAGTTGCCCAATGTACTCTGGGCATATCGGACTACGCCGAGAAGATCAACAGGGAAAACCCCCTTTGCCATGGCCTACGGCACAGAAGCAGTCATTCCACTGGAGATCGGCATCCCAGGGATCAGAACCCAGGGAGTAGAGAATGGGACCAATGACATACTTCTTGCTTGAGATCTAGATCTCTTAGAAGAAAGAAGGGAGAAAGCTGCAATTCAGCTTGCAGCGTACCAGCAACAGCTTGCTAGAGTTTACAATAAGAAGGTCAATCCAAGGGATTTTCAGGTCGGCGACCTAGTTTTAAGAAAAGTTGTTAGCAACAAAAAGGATCCCAGAGAGGGCAAGCTTGGCCCAAACTGGGAAGGGCCCTACAGAATCACTTCAGTATTGGGCAATGGAGCATACCGACTTGAAGATAATGAGGGCAAAGCATTGCCAAGACCCTGGAACACTTGTAATTTGAAATTTTTCTATCATTAGATGTTCCTTGTTATTTTTTACCGACGTCATCAATAAAATTTTAGCAAAGTTCTCCAAAGACTTGTGAATTGATGCATAATGTTGTTTCTGAATAATGAGAACCCAAGTGGAACTCAGGTTCACATTGGGGGCAGAGAGAAGACAAAAATGCTTAACGCTTGTTGAAATTTGTAGCAATTTACAAGTTGAAGTTAAACCAAAGTAATGCTTAACGCTTGTTGAAATTTATAGCAATTTACAAGTTGAAGTTAAGCCGAGAGAATTGTTTATCTTCACTTCTTGAAATTTGTAGTAATTTACAAGTTGAAGTTAAACCAAAGTAATGCTTAACGCTTGTTGAAATTTATAGCAATTTACAAGTTGAAGTTAAGCCGAGATAATTGTTTATCTTCACTTGTTGAAATTTGTAGCAATTTACAAGTTGAAGTTAAACCAAAGACAAGAACTTGCCGAGGTAGATCATCGGTTAGCACAACCGAGGTGTGTCACCCCGAGAAGGTTACACAAAGGAAGAAGAGTATACATATGCAAAATATTCTAAGTATAGAATCATGCAAAGACAAAAAAGAAAAGACAGGAGTGCAAGCACTTAGAAAAGAAAAGTTATATTCATTCACCAAGAAAAGGGCACATCGACCATACAAAAAGCATACATTGTTCCAAAAGATAATAAGGCAACAAAATACAAATAAGCAAAAGAAAAAAAAAATGAAGCTAAGACTCCTCTCCATCCATTGGTTGAAATTGAAGATCAGATGCTGGTTGAGAAGACATCCCAGCTGCCTTATCCGCCGCTATCTCGGCATCAATTTCTTGTAGAGTTTCTTTAACATTCTTGTCCGCAGAGGAGATATTGGCTGGTGCATTCTCGGGAACAGCTTCTATGGGAACCTCATCACCTTCCTCATCCTGAGTCAAGTCTAGGACTTGCTCATTCTGAGGAGGGGACTTGGCCCCATCAGCATCCTTGGATTTTCTCACCAAGGCCTAATCCTCATCCTCATCATTTTCCTCGGATTCGGATTCGTCGACGTCTTGGTTTGGAGGTTGAATTGGAGGAAATTACACAGGAATGGCATCAGGTTTTCTTAATGGCGAGTCCTCTGGGACGTTAAGTTTCTTCAGAAGGGACATCCAACCAAGGGTAAAACCCTTATTGCATGTCTCCTTCACTTGCTGTTCGTAAGCATCAGTGACGTCGGCCATGCCTTGGGCATATGCCTTTTCATCAGCTTCTTTTATTTCGGCGTCTTTGGTGGCCAGAGCCTCCTGAAGCTCTTTTTCAACCTGGGCCATTTTTTCTTCTGCTTCTCTCTTTTGAGACTCAGCCACTTTCCTGATGGCTTCAGCGACCTCAGCCTTCTCTTCGGCATTGGTCTGGGCTTTTATTACAGCCTCAGCTTGGTCCTCCAGTTTTTTCATCTTCGATTGAAGACCTTTGTTGATCTTTTGGATGGAAGAGAACTCTCTTTTCATATCAACAAGCCTTTCCCGATTCTCAAAAGACTGCATTGAAAATGAGTGGGCATGCTGGATGGCCTGAAAGAAAACAGAGGTGTTAGAGAATACTCAAAATATAAAATAAAAGGGAAGGAAAGAGGAAAAATACCAAATAGAAAACGTTTACCTGAACAGAGTGCTGAAGCATTAGAGCATAGTTCTCATATTCACTATACTGGGCGTTTCGCTCCAGGTCGCCTGGAAGAAGCAGGGCAGTACTGAGTGCGACGCCGACGTTTATATCATCGGTACTATCACTTGCCATGACAGGCTTGTCTTCCAAAGTAATTGTGGGGGCCCAGGGGGCATCGGGCTTTTTTGATCCCGAAGTTATTGCGGAGGAAGACCTCAGCTTTTTTGGTTGTTGGGATTCTAATGGTTGAGACTCAGAGCGCCTCTTCTCAGCAGAAGGCTAAGATTTATCATTCTCAGCCAACTTTGAAATAGGCAGAGTGTCTTCAAACTCAACCTGAGCTACCTTGGCCTTTGGTTGAGCCTTTTTTATTCTTTTTGGCTTCGGTGGAGGAAGGGTTTGTGCAGGTTGATCGTCAACAGATGATGGAATGCTGGCCAGAAGATCTTTTGCAACTGGTTTTGGATGGCCCATCTCGGCAGTAAGGACAAGTCGTCGCCGACGTTTTCGTTCTGATATCGGGACCAAATATGGAGCTGAGGTTGATGGCTGATCAGCTAGATCAGATGTTGATCCTTGATCTGTTCGTGATGTGGATACAATCAATGGAGTTGTAGCAGAAGGTGGAGAAAGACTTTTCTTCTTCCTTTTGGGAATGTCGAGCAAAGTCGACTTGTATGATGGAATAAAATTGAGAATCACTGGCGCTTTTCTCTTATGGACTGGTAAGTCCAGAAGTTTCTTCAAGTCCTTGCTAGGGACAAAGGACTGGCGAAAATTTTTCGGTGGCTGACGAACAACTACAAGCAGAACAAAACGTCAGAAACAGACAAAGTATTTAAAGACTTCGAAAGAAAACAGGCAAAGCTGAATACTGAGCTCTTACCCTTGCCCTCTAAAACAGATCAAGAAAGAGGGTAGAGATGGATGTCCTCGTCTAGAACAAACTCCCAATTTCTCGAGGTAATGAGGTAGTCATCTCCAACCCCCTTGTTGGAGTCTGGGAGGTCGGCTACAATTTTGAATTCTGTAGACCTCGACTTAAGGTAATAAATGTAGCCTTTTTCTTTCAAATTAAGGGCACACATGGTATAGCAATAATGGATATCGGCTAGGGTGATCCTAGCGTTTTCCTGTTTAGCTAAGGCTATGGCACCAAAGATCACTCGATAGGAGTTAATTGCCAGTTGCATGAGGTTCAACTTATAGTAATGAAGAATCTCGCGAAAAAGAATGTTGAGTGGGAGCCGGAGTCCGCACTCTGTAAAAGCTACAATGGGAAAGGGCATGGCGTTTTCTGTAGGCATGATGGAGTCATCATCCCCAGCTAGCCTCAGATGGACATCGGCAGGGATGGAGAACTCTTGCCTAAAGTACTCAAGTTTGGTCGGGGTATCTACCCTATGTCTCCACATACCCATGATATCGGCCTGAATTAGAAGGGTTGAAATTCAGAAAGAAGATGTTTCTTGTTGATGGGACCTCGGCAAATACCTAGGTTTAGGCTGGTACAAAAATTTGTAAGGAATGTTTCAGTTTAGCCCTAAATCGTGGGTTCTACAAACAAATCCCAAACCTAAAGCTATGAAGATGAAGAGCAAAGGCATAGATCTGGAAACAGAAAGCAAGAATGGAATTTCAGAATCAAGAACAGAGATGGTTCATCAAGAGCATAAAGAATACAAGAAATACAGGGCCAAGATTAGTGACAAAGATATTGGGAAATAGTGAAATAATGCGTATGTTCAAGATATGGGCAAAGGGAAAATCATGAGAAGGACACATTCAGGTATTAAAAGTTTCAACAGATGCAGTAAAGGCCACAAGTAACGAAGAATATCAACAGAATTGAAAAATGAAAGGAACAGTAGCTTACCAGAAGAGAGTGAAGCTGGTATGAAGATTGCCGAAGTCTGACGAAGGTTATAGGAGTAACAGAATAGCGAAAGCTTCACCAGAAAGATGAACGGAAGACAATTGCAGAGTTTGGAGCTTGGGCAATGGCGGATTCAAAAGAAAAAGTTTAAAGAGAGAAAAAGCAAGAGAAATCAGATGCAAAAGTGGAGAAGTGAATAAAGGGGAAAAGATTTTGTCAAAAATGAAAACGGCGGCAAAAAATAATCAATACGCCTAAAAGAGCGCATACGTCAGACGGCGCACGTGAGAAAGAGATGACTTATGGGCGCGTCACAGGCACGAGCTAGTAAGAAAGAAACGCGTGATTAAAAAACGGTTGAATTATGGTGTATGACAGCTCATACGCATGGAAGGGTTCTTGAAATTCTTGTTCTTCAAATAAAAGGATATCGGCCAAAATAATGATCTCGGCTGAGATACTGAAAACCGACGTACTGGAAAAACGGAATGATATAGGTTCCATCACCTCAGAATGCCAGTAATAGAACCTAAGGAGCAGTTGTGGATATATTTTTGCAGTACCGACACGTGGCAAGGTGACGCCGACATGTCAGTCGAGTTGTTACGTGTCAGGGTCATAACGCCGAGGTCATCTCGGTCAAGCCGAGGTTATCTCCGAAGATATCGGAATCCGAGATAATCAGATAAGCGATAAGGGACAAGAGTCCTAGAATGAAGAGGAAACTTAGCCAAGATAAGGATAAAGCTCTTAGAGAGTTTATCTTTATCTCTTGAAGAGTCCAAAGTAAGTACTGAATTGGAGTCCATAGAAGTCTGGCTTCTTGTGGGACTAGGATTAAGTAAACTATAAAAGAGAGGCACCCCCGTGGGTCTAAGGTACACAATTTTATGCTTTGAGTAGTAAGTTTAGCACTTGATTATCTTTGAGAGATATACTGATTTGATCGTCGGAGTGCCCACGGGTGGAAGAGCCACCGCCGGAGCCTTTTCTTTCTGTTACAGGTTAGCTGAAGCCATCTATTCTGCCGGTGCTCTCTAGCTGATTACTAAACGGGCAGTGTGATCAGAAAATCACTCACACAACATCCATCCAAAATCAATCGGTTTGATCGGGTTGGGTGAGTTGGACAGATGCATGATCATCACTAATTAATGAAGTTGGACTTTGCTTTACTCCATACTATAAGGGAGTTATGTGTATATTTTTCTCATTTTATAATATTTACAAAAATATTTTATAATCGAGATAGAAATGAAGACAACCCTTCCTCTTTTGTGTGATTATTCCGTAGTCTCAAAGTGTCGTCATGTGGTACTCTATGGTAATATAATTGGTGGAGAATGTAGAGTATTAATTATTTGTGTTGGGTGATTGAGTAACATGATGAACCATAATAATGGTGATTGGTGAAGAAGTATGACCACGTGATATTCCAAGACTACTGTATAATTTTCTTTCTCTCACGAAAAGTTATCACATAAGTCCGCCCTGTATTCTACATGTTATGCCCATGTAATTCTATAGATTACATAACTACTATTTTTTATTTTTCTCCCTTATTTATTACATAAAACAACCAATAAATTGAAAGGGCACACAACCTAATTAAAATTCTTGGAAGACAAGATAATTTCTCTCCTCTCAGTCACTTACACCTCTTTTTATAATAAAAATAAAAAAAATATATATTTTTATTCTTTTCATAAAAGGTTCAAGTTTGTCTCTAATTGACAAAGTAGCTAGTTTGGCATGTACTAAATAAGTCAAAAAGTCAAAAAGTCACTATCTTATTTAAGTCACATCATCTTATTTAAATCACATCACCTCTCTAACACATCACATCAAATCCAACCCAAACCCAACCCAAACCCACCAATAAGTCAAAAAGTGCACTTTTTTAGGACATCCCAAACCAACCCTAAACGGTGATGTTGGATCTCGTGAGCATTGTAAATAAATTGTCGGGGTTTGAGTGTTGTAAATAAATTTTAAATTTTGAATTAATCTAAACTATTTGTTTATTTTTATTAAGTAAAATCAATAACAAAAAAATAGTTTTTTAGTCATTAAATTTAATGAAAGTAGTACTTTATACATTTTGTGTATACTGACATTGAGTTTAATGACTAAAATTAACTTTTTTTTCTTTGATATTATTTAACAAAAATAGATGAATGGTTAAAATTGAAAACAAACCAACAGATTAAAATTTAAATAGACAAATTAAAAACTAAAGGATAAATTACAAATACACCTCTAGATGTAATTTGATTTGAAAAATTATAAATATTCTCTTATTAGAATTTTTATATAAAATTAATTAAAAAAATAAAATTTCTAATTGCTCTCCTTCCAATAAAATAATAAAATTATTTAAATCATTAATTGAAATAAATTTATGACATCATTAAAAATTATTAAGTGCTATGAAACTTAAAACTTCAAAAAAAAATGGAATATAATTTTTAAAACTATAAAAAAATAATTTATATCTATATACGTTCATGGATGGCACCATTGTTTGCTTAACTGACTTATTATCATCTCTCTCTCTCTCTCGCGTCATGGAAACTGCTATCAAACAACAACAGTAGAAGCCTCGCATAGTCATTTTCCCCACACCAGCAATGGGTCATCTCATCCCACTCACTGAGTTCGCTACGCGACTCGTCCTCACCCACAACTTCTCAGTCACCTTCATCATCCCCAACTTTCGGTTTCCCATCAAATCCCAAGAATCTTTCCTCGATTCCTCCATGCCCAAAACCATTCAAGTCCTCTATCTCCCTCCTCCTCCCCCTCTGGCCGACGTTCCTTCCGACGCCAATCCTTCTTTTTTTGTCGCAACCGCCATGACTCGTGCTGTCCCGGCTCTCCGTGACTCGCTCAAGCTCTTAACTGAGTGACTCGCTCAAGCTCTTAACTGAGTCAACTCGTCTCGTCGCCCTGGTAGTCGATGTCGCTGGCACCGACGCATTTGAAGTTGCTCGAGAATTCAATCTGCTACGGTACATTTCCGTGCCTTTATGTGCAATGTCACTGTCATTGCTTTTGCATTTGCCCAAGTTAAACGAAGAAGCTCAAGGTTACAGTGACTATAAAGATATACCCGACCCAATCAAAATACCCGGTTGCCTCCCGATTCGGGGCACACAGTTAGTAGATGTGATGCAGAACAGAAACACTCACACTTACAAATTGTTCATTTACCATACCAAAAGGTTCAATCTGGCTGATGGGATTATCGTCAATAGTTTCCTAGATTTGGAACCTGGAGCTTTTAATGCTTTCGTGGACGAGGAGGATGATGGGTCAGGTAAAAAACCGCCCGTATACCCGATTGGACCCGTGTTACAAACCCGTCCGACAAGTGGAAATGATGATGATGTGGAGTGCTTGAGGTGGCTCGATGAGCAACCACGTGGCTCAGTTTTGTTTGCGTCATTCGGGAGCAGTGGGACCCTTTCACAGGAGCAGCTAACTGAACTAGCCTTGGGTTTGGAGACGAGTGAACAAAGGTTCATTTGGGTGAATCAAGATCCCTTCCTTGCATTTCTTCTTTATATTTTCTATTCCCAAAGTTATTGGGTCTACTTTTAGGCGTCTGAATCCACTAAAGTGATCATGTGAAGTGATCCTCTAGAGTGATCCCTTATGATGCAACACGTGTCCCATTAATGGAACCAACAGCTGAGATGATCCTCGCCAAAACGACGTCGCTTTGATGAGTTAGACCCAAAAAAAAAAAAAAATTTGCTGAGTTGCAGATCGAGTCGAGAGGAAGGAGGAAGAAGAAGAAAATGGATTTGAAAGGACGAGGAGGAGGAAGAAGAAAATGTAAGAAAACTGGAAGAAAATGTATTTAAGAGAAATTGGAAGAAAATGGATTTGAGGAAGAAGAAAAGTTTTTTTGCTGTGTTGGGTTAATGGGTTTGGTCGCTTAAGAAGTTCATCGCCATGGATGAACTTCCATTTTCTTCTTCATCTCTCAAACTCATTTTCTCTGCAAATCCAACCATTAAATGGATTTGAGGAGGAAGAAAATGGAAGAAGAAAAGTTTTTTTTGCTGTGTTGGGTTAATGGGTTTGGTCTCTCAAAAAGTTCATCGCCATGGATGAACTTTCATTTTCTTCTTCATCTCTCAAACCCATTTTCTCTGCAAATCCACCCATTTTCTCTCAAACCCAGAGTTTTCTTCTTCCTCAAATCCGTTTTCTTCCAGTTTCTCTCAAATCCATTTTCTTCTTCTTCCTCCTTCCTCTCGATCTGCAACTCTACAAAAAAAAAAAAAAAAAAAATTGGGGTTTGGCTCACCAAAACGAGGGATCATCTCAGCCATTGGTTCCATTAATGGGACACATGTTGCACCATAAGGGATCACTCTAGAGGATCACTTCACAAGATCACTCTAGAGGATCTGGACGTCACTTTTAGGCCCAATTTTGATAATCCGAACTGTTCATATTTTAAGATTTGTTCATTATATCATATCTGTAAAAAATCAAGTTGATCGGATATCAGAAAATATGTTTTCGGAAAACTGTTTATTAAATTCTTTAAAAAAATAATTTTTAGTTTGAGTTTTCCGAACACATACTTTCTGATATCCAATCAACTTTATTTTTTACAGGTATGATATACTGAGCATATCTTAAAATATGAACGACTATCAAAATTTGGCCTAAAAGTGAGTCCAATGACCCTAGAAGTAGGAAATGCAAGGAGGGGATCCTGATTCCATTTGAGTTGTTAGGAGCCCAGATAAGGATAGTGCAAGTGGCGTTCACTACAATGCACAAAGCATTAACAAGGATGATGACCCATTTGATTTCCTACCAAAGGGGTTCGTGGAGAGAACAACAAGCGGGGGGTTGGGTCTATTGGTTCGGTCCTGGGCCCTACAGATCCAAATCCTGAGCCATGGCTCGACTGGTGGATTCCTGAGTCATTGTGGTTGGAACTCAATCTTAGAAAGCTTAGTCAATGGAGTGCCTTTAATTGCTTGGCCACTCTTTGGAGAGCAAGAAATGCATACAGAAGTGCTAACTAAACAATTCAAAATCGCGTTTAGACCAAAGAAGAACGAGAATGACGACCTTGTTGGTCGTGAAATCGCAAAACTTGTGAGGGATCTTATTATAGGAGAATGAGGGAAATCACTTCGACACAAGGCGAGGGAACTGAAAGAGGCAGCTGCCACCGCTACGAGTGAACACGGATCATCTGCTAAGTCACTTGCTCAAGTCATCCAAATTTGGAAAAATTATGAAACGGTAATGCCCTGACACCCGCTCTGATACCATTTGTAACGCTCCACCTCCACCGCTTGCCTACCTGCCTGTTCTGTTGGGTCTATCATCATGACTTGACTCGAAATGCAGAGGTTCAAGTTATATAGTAATAAAACTTGCGGTGCCTTCTATACTCAAGATCGCCCATATGTAATCTTTTGATATTCTCTGTAAGATAAATTGATAGAGAAAGAGAGAGAATAAATTATGTATATATTGATGTATTGAATGTTATATTGAGTGTTCTTACAAGGGGAATGCACTCTCTTTTATAGAGAGAATTTGAGCATTGGATGCCCACTGACAGTGTGATGCATTGTACATTATAAAATATAAAGCTAAAGCTATACACTAACATGATATAAAGCTAAAGCTATACACTAACAGACATAATCATACACTAGCATGCTAAAGCTAATCATACACTAACATTCTCAGTGGGGTTTGTTGTTTAATGCATTGCTTATGTCTTTGTTTTTCTTTCTTTCTTTCGTTGTTAAACCATGGAGTTACACTTCTTATATCAGTTCATGTGATTCAAATCAATCCTATATGGAAGAATTTGTTAGTATCAATTAGCTTGTTTGATTTTGATTTCTAAAAAACACTAATTATACTTTTTTGTTTTTCATATATATATATATATATATTTTATTTTCAATGAATTTTTTTAATATTTTAAGCAATTTTTTTTAATTTTTAGACACATCTAACATAAATACACTTAAAAAGTATAATATTTGTGAAAATAATCTTAAAAAAATTTACTAAATATCAAAAATACAAAAACAAAATATGAAAATTCAATATATTTTTCGTATTTTTGTGTATTTATTAATTTTTAAAAATATTTTTTCACAAATATTTTACTGTTTAGATACATCTAAGTAAGGTACATTTAAAAAAATAAAAAAATTACTTAAAATTTTAAAAATATTCATGGAAAACAAAAAATTCAATTTCCAAAAAATTAAAATCAAACACACTAAATAATACTACAAATTTAAATTTTTTATTTTGAATGTTACTTAAAAATATCAATTCCTGATTCTAATTCATTCTGCACTTAAACTTTACATTAGATTAATTCAATTTCTATTACATAAGCGCATTATCAAGGGATAATTTTTCTACGTCAATAAGATTTCTAGTGCAAGTATTACATTTATGTTAAAGATCTTCACAGTAACTTTATTTTCACTTTCTTTTCGCTAGTGAAATTTCTCTTGCTTCTAGATTGATTTTTTGTCATGGGCGAGTCTCAGCGTGGTGGTAAAATTGTTCAATTGTAAAATCAACCTTACGATTTCTAAAGACTAAACTTTATGGGACTTACTTGTAAGTGTTACTATGTGAATTTAATATCTACTAATTATTATGATAACTAATAGCGTTTTATTAAATATTATTAAAAAAGTCACTAATTATTAATTTTCAGCGATAATTTAAAAATTGTTACAAAAATATCATTGATTTTAAGTTTTAACGACAATTTAAAAAATCGTCACAAAAAATATCACTAATTTTTAAATTTTAGCAACAGTTTATAAAATTCATCACAAAAAAATTTCACAATTATAAGTTTTAGCGACAATTTATAAAAACTGGAAAAAAAAAAATCACTAATTGTCAATTTTTAGCGACATATGCAAAAAATATCACAAAAAATTATTTTTAACGACGATTTTACTTGATCTTATTTTCAATAAGATTTGATGAAAATTAAGTCCAACTGTTTGGACCTATAGGTAGTTTACCCTTTATTGTTAAGATAAATTATAAATACACCTCTTGAGATTTATTTAAAATATAAATTGCTCTTTCTAGCTTAGAAAATTAGAAATATCTCCTTGTCATAATTTTTTATTTAATATAATTAATTAAAAAAATAAAATTCTCAACTGCTCTTCTTTAATGATAAAATTACCTGAGTTATTAATTAAAACAAATTTATGATATTATTAAAAATTACTAATTGACTTGATGATTTATCAAGGAAAGAGTCATTTGTTATGAAATTAAAAAATTTAGAGGGCAGAATATAATTTCTAGAATCATATAGACAAACTATATTTTAAGCAAATCTCATAATGTATATTTGTAATTTACTCTTTTTTAAACACAAAATTCAAATTATAATACTATAACTCCATAATTACGCTTATTTTTGTTGTAAGTTGAAATCACAATGGAAAATATATTATACCAGAAATGTTAAGGACCCCAAAAAACCTACCACTGCTCCTACCATCCATTCATCCATCCATCTATCTATCTATCTATTATATAAGGAGGGTAATATTTTTAATGAGGAGTCTTGTGAGTTTCAATATCTCATACTAATTTTCTTAATTTTCTTAACTTTAAACAATTAAGAAAATATCTATTGACTAACTTTTATTTGATAATCTCACATCGGAAAAAAAGAAAAAAAAAAAAGTTATTTTACTCATATAAAGTAAATCTTATACTCTCATCCCATTTAGTAAGGAGTCTAATAAGAGTTTCAATATCTCATAATAATTTTCTTGATTTTCTTAATTTTTTAAACAATTAAAAAATTCTTCATTGACTAACTTTTATTTGATAATCTCATATCGGGAAAAGAAGAAAAAAAATGAATTATTTTACTCATATAAAGTAAATTTAATACTCTCATCCCATTTAGTAAGGAGTCTTGTGAGAGTTTCAATATCTCACACTAATTTTCTAGATTTTCTTAATTTTAAACAATTAAGTAAATCTCCATTGGTTAGCTTTTATTTGATAATCCCATATCGGGAAAATAAGAAAAAAAATGAGTTATTTTACTCATATAAAGTGAATCTTATACTCCTATCTCATTTAATATTATACTATTGTGTATGTTTCAATTCAATATAGTTTAAATTTTAAAAGTTTTATTTAATTAATTATTACCTAGCCGATTAGGCTAAATCATTTTTTATTTGATTGATTCGTTAGTTTAATCGCAATTTTAGCGATTTTATCAAAATATATTGATTAAATTCGAAATAAACTAATTTATATAAGCAAAAGGAGATTTTAGTTGAGAAACCCTATGATCAATATCTTATACTCATTTTTTTTATTTTCTTAATTTTAAACAATTAAGAAAATCCTCAATGGCTAGCTTCCATTTAACTTTTTTTTATAATCCCACATAGCCGTTTTGATTTTAAAAATAATTTTGTATGAAATTTTGAAACTCTCATAATATTTAACTTTAAAATAATTACAATCCCACATCGAGAAAAAAAAAGAGTTATTTCACTTATATAAAGTGTTACAATCCCACATCAAAAAAAAAAAAATGAGTTGTTTTTCATATATAAAGTGAATCTTATAAAAGAAGGTTTTGAGGAAGAAGCATTCTAGAAGTTTCAAACCCTCATTCTAAAATTATTAAATTTTCTTAATTTTAAACAATTAAGAAAATTCACATTGACTAGTTTCAATTTATCTTTTATTTTACAATCTCACGTCGAGAAAAAAAGGAAACTATGAATTGTTTTATTTACATAAAGTGAATCTTATGATCCAATTTATATAAATTATTGAATTTTATTAATTTTAAACAATTAAGAAAATCTCCATTGGCTAGTTTCTATTTAATTTTTATTTTATGATCCCACATTGGGAAAAGAAGGAAAAAAATGAATTGTTTCACTTATATAAAGTAAATCTTATACTCCCATTTATATAAGCAAAATGAGATTTTTTTAGTGAGAAGCCTTATAATCAATACCAATATTTTTTTATTTTCTTAATTTTAAACAATTAAAAAAATATCCATTGGTTAGCTTCCATTTAACTTTTATTTTTCAATCTCACATAGAGGCTTTGATTTTAAAAATAATTTTGTATGAGATTTTGAAACTCTCATAACATTTAATTTTAGAATAATTACAATTCCACATCGAGAAAAGAAAGAAAAAATGAGTTATTTCACTTATATAAAGTGAATCTTATACTCTCATTTAATATTATAGTATTGTACATATTCCAATTCAAGATGGTTTAAATTTTAAAGTAAAATCTAAAAGTTTTAATTAATAAATTTTGTTGTAAATTGGTTGATTTTTTGATTTAGCCAGGTAGGCTGAATCGTTTTCGGTTTGACGGATTCACTGGTTTAATCGCGGTTTTAGCTGTTTTGTCAAAATATGTTGCTTAGATTTTTTTGATTTGAAATAAACTAAGATTGACCATATTAAAAATTAAACGACTGAGATTGCTTAATTAGAAATAAATTTCCATTCTAAACAATTGTTAACCTTTATTTTACAATCTCACATCACAAAAAAGAAGAAAAAATGAGTTGTTTTACTATATAAACCTTATACTCCTATTTAATATTGTAGTGTTGTGTTTGTTTCAGTTCAAGACAGTTTAAATTTTAAAATTAAAATAAATTTAAAAACTTTAATTAATTAATTTTTGTATAAACTGGTTGGTATTTTGACCTAGCAGATAGGGTGAACCATTTTTGGTTTTACTGATTCACTAGTTTAACTGCGATTTTAGCGGTTTTATCAAAATATCTTGGTTAAATTTGTTTGATTCGAAATAAATTAAAGATTGACCTTATTAAAGATTAAACGGCTAAGATTGTTTGATTCAAGATAAACTTTCCACCCAAACAATTATTAACTTTTAAACAATTATAAAAATTCACATTGGCTAGCTTACATTTAATTTTTATTTTATAATCTCACATCGAGAAAAGAAAAAAAAAAGTGAATTGTTTCACTTTCATAAAGTAAATCTTATACTCCCATTTATCTAAGCAAAAAGAGATCTTTAGTGAAAAACCTTATGATTAATATCTTATACTAATTTTTTGATTTTCTTAATTT